CTCGATTAAAAAGAATAGATCGAAATGGTAGCAGTAGTAAAAAAGAAAAAAATTGGATAAAATAACGTGAACAGTGTGAAGAACGAAAATAAAAGAAAAATACGTAAATGTCGAAGATGTAAAACGTTATTTGTTGTAAAAGTCGTAGAAATTTATTTTTGAATAAAAAAAGCGAGATCAATTTCTCGCTTTACTCTCCCTGAAAAACCGACTTTAAATCCGATACGAAGTGGATGGACATGGTATTCTTCATTAACTCGAGGAAAATGAGAATTTTTCGATACGACGAAAAATGGCTATGGGATATGAAACAGATAAATATTGCAAATTTCATAATAAGAATTTTATTCTTGAATATATATAAAAGAGATAAGATTGAATTCCTGAAAATTTTCACTCCCTTTTAAATTATGTTCTTCTAATGAAAAGTCAGAATTTCGATGGAAAATTTCTCAGAATTTAGAATTCTTGGGAAAATTTCGAGCGCCATTATATTCGTCGACTTCCGCTGATACAAAATTTCTGGCAATAAAATTCTACTTTCCTCGTATTCGTTTTTACATAATTTTATTATTCAATTAATTGGATCCAGATATAATCCATTTCATTTATTATTGCTTTAACGTAGAATTTAATAACGAAACGTAGAATTTAATAAAAAGACACCTCGTTCGAAGAATATTCGAAATCACGAGTTCAGAAAAATTGAAATTGAAATTTCAATAAATTGAAATTGTTCGAAATTGAAAGGAGAAAAAAAAGGGAGGGGAAGGAACGTCATCACGTTTTTACCATTTCTCGAATAATTTGATATTTTCCAATACAATTTCAAACTTAAACGCCTTTCTTTCCTTAATTCGAATTAAAACATCATTTTTATTTCCGTTGTTTCTTCATTAATCTCCAAAATTTTTTTCCACATCTCACAAAACTCGAAAAAAGAAAACAAAATTTAATCGACAAAGAGCACGCACAAGAAGCGTGCGAGAAAAAGAAAAAGAAGAAAAAAAAGAAAAAGAAAAAGTTGAATTGAAATTGGCGGGGATGCAATTAAGAAAAATCGATCCGACACTTATTCGAAGAGGGGAGTCGAGTGAGCGATTCCTTTGGATCAGCTTTCTCCTCCCTTTGATCGTTGCCATCGGGCAAGACGACTTCTTTGATTGAAACAAGGACAAGTGGTCCGCGAAAACTCGTTATAACACGTGAAACCGCATTTAACTATCAGATATTTTTAGAATATCTGATCGATAACCTGATTGCGATACCTCGAAACCAATTGACGATTCCTTCCTTCCATACTCGTCCCGTTCGAGGCTTGCCTCGAAACTTGAAGGAGAGGAGTTAAAAAAGAGTCGCGATAATTGGATATTTCGTGTTGTGAAATTTGTGAAAAATATTTCACACGAAATTGTATTAAATTTCGATTGTCACGAAATTATGAACGAGTCAAAAGTTTCGGTTTAAGGAGGAGTACGATCTTGAGGGAAATTGAATAGAGAAGGTTTGTAAGAAAATATAATGAAAGATTGAGAAATATTTCTTGTTTATTTATTTGGATTAGCAGATGGATAAAGGAAATATTTATTTTTCATTTCATTGGAAAGGTAACTAACAAGATGAAGATCGAAGATGATTGTGCTTCATCTTTCATTTCTTATCTTCTCTTTAAGGAGCCCGTATAATCGATATTATTGGCAATAATATCGTAAAGGTATAATACAATCTTCATTATATAGTTTTATTTTTAGATTCTTATTGATATTGACGATATTATTGGTATTATTGACACTTATCTGTATTGGCAATATTATTGATCGTAAACAGAAGGAGAATAAATCAGGTTGTTTAATTAATGATGAACGTAAAAAAAAAAGAAGAAGAAAAAAGAAAAATAGAAAAAGAAGCGAGAGAAGAAGTTTAAAAATTTTATTATTTAAATTTTCGTTCAATTAAAAACGTTGAATTATCCACTCATCCCAATATTATCTTCCATCAGAATATTATTCGTACGTACTCAGTCGATAATGCAAATTTATACGAATTCAATTCATTCCGAATTTCATCTCCTCGCGAAAATAAAAAATTAATTTAAAATCATTCAACCATCATAAGTAAATATAATAAATCTATAATGATATAATAAATCATTCTCATTAATTGAAAATTTGAAAAATATATTCACGAATGATGCGTGAGTTTTTTAAAATCTCTTCGAAATCTGTAGAAAAATTAAAAGTAAAATGAAACTCCCCAAAAAAAAAAAAAAAAAAAGAAAAAAGGATAGGAAAAAGTATTCTTGGAGGTAAAAGTTGAGAAAGAAAATGAAATTGTTCGCAGTTATATATAGGAAACTCGGAGGGAGTGCGGAGTAGAGGGGCGAGGCATCGGCGGGAAATAAATCGAAGTAGACAAGGCGAAACGCAGGGCACGTTTCGCGTGGAGAAAATTTTCTCGGTGGGGCGCAAAGTGGCGGAGGAATTTGCATTCCAAAGTGCACGCGGCCCTGGCGCGGCGTGCATTCGCGAGCAGCAGACGCTTTTCGCACGTTCGCCAACAGATAAATCATTTCGGGCTAACTTTCGGTTTAACAAACTGCTCAGGCTACCTCACGTTCAGCGTTTAAAACGTGTCTTGTTTCTCTCGACTATTTTTTTCTTTTCTTTTCTTTTCTTTTTTTCTCTCTCTCTTTCTCTCTCTCTCTCTCTCTCTACAAACCACCATCGTCACACTGTTGTGTCTTAATGATAATTTTAATCTTCCGTTTTATCTTTTTTTTTTTTTTTTCATCATAGATGAAAAGATTTTTAGGTTAATTATTTTAATCCGATTTGAAAAATTCGTTAATTCGAGTGTTTCGAAATTTTTCGTAATAAAGAATTGTTCTCAAAAAAAGTGATTCTCGAAAAGTAGATCGAGATTCATTCGTTTGGAATTAATTAAAAATTTCTTTTCGTTTTCGTGTGATCTTTTTAAGCAAGAAAAGAGGAGACTGTGAACTTGTTCTTGGTCTCCAAATAAATCGTGGATTCGATTGGATTTTAAGAAAGAAAGAAAAAAGAAAAGTACGTGAATTAAAGTATGGAGGTGAAAATTATAATAATAATAATAATACTCGGAATACTTAATAATTTATTCGAGATTCTGACTGATCTGTTGATCACCAAATACATTCTTTGAAAATGCTATTGTTGTTTTAAGAAATCTGCATTTAATCGATGTTTAAAATCGTTTCAAATTATCGAAATATTTATTCCATTTTCCAATTAACTGTTAGGCCAATAATTAATTATCTAATCATCTCAATGGGAAACCGATAATCGAAAATCGATACGTGTCGTTAAAATTTCACGAAAGGTCCGATTTTATACGTGAAAATAATTGCTCGAGTAATTTTACAAGTTGCAAAGACACTGAAGTTTTAATCCTTTTTTTTGTTCGTTTGTATTTTTTTAACCTTTATGTAAATTGCAAAATTATTTTTATATCTCGTGAAAACATTATTTGGTGTAAATTATTAAACCAAATTTTATGAAATCGAGAAAGATAAAGATTTTTTTCTTGATAAAATTTTTTTTTTTTTGCAGATAGTTAACTAAAATTAACGAATAGCAAAAAAAGAATTTTGCGTTTATATTTCGGTAGACACATTAACACAAGCAAAGTTTAATCACGTACAATTAGTAAGGTTCGAAATAATCGCACCTTTTGTAAGGAGATACAGCATCTCTCGGGAAACTTGGAACTTCTCCGTCTTAACTAGTTGGGATATCATCCACAATCTGCATTTGTGGAAAGTGTTATTAATCTTGTAATACACTACCAGCACATTAATTATCGAGATATGCATTCCACGAGGTGACGTTTTAATTTGTTAAAAAGCCAACAAGCAAGGAAAGTTGGTAGGAAACATGGGGAATTTCCATGTACAAGCTTTCAACTAGGGAACTTTTGTACGTCGAAAATTTATTTGAAACGTCGCGTTATTTTTTTTAACTCTTAGAGATTAAACTTAGATGCCTCGTAATTGAATATTTTCCACAATAATAGAAATTCTCTTTGCGAATAATCGAAGATTATAAACGTGGAAAGTTCAAAAGGCTTTTATCTTAATCTAAACCTAACCTAAACATCAGATTGACCCTTGACCGACGCAAACGTAACTCAAACCTTTAATTAACTCAAGTTTAACCCGGATCGAATCAAACCTTGACTGAGAACTAACATGAACACGTAATCTTAGCTTAACTGAAACTTAATAAAAACGTAAATCGAATCTTGATTTAATAAAAGTAAAACTTAAGCTTGAACGTAACCGAATTCTGATTCAAATTTATCACCAATTGGATTCAAACTTAATTAAAGTCAATATCAATATACTTAATGTCCCAAATTTAATATTAACTTATCTCAATAGTTATACATATTTTTAACAAACCCATTCTAAAAAGTTACTTACTAATCGTATCGATATAATGCGATAATTATTAAAAATATTTATCAAATATATATTATTGTACAAAATTAATTATTTTATAAAATTAATTAAATTATAAACAAAATATCAATGTAAAATTATTCGTATACAAACTTAATTAATTTAAAAAATATATCTAAATATATCTAAAGTTACCAGATATGGGGGAAAATATCTAGATCTGATAATTCCTATAAAATTCACTAGGATATCATTCGCTGACGACAAAAAATTCTCCCTTGGTGACTTTGAAACTCGTCACCCCGATTCCATCCAATCATTGAATTCCCCACCAGGGGAAACAGGAACAATTACACGTTCCAAACTATGGGACAGATGGAGAATATAAAGGCCAACGCGCGGCCCTGCTCGCCTGTCAGTTCGTCCGATTCCTACGACGGGTTCCCACTTGCGAATCGATCTGTTTTATCGACCGATCTGGAACCATCGTCCAATAATCTTTCTCCTATGTGAAAGATTTTTCCGACCAAGAAATTCCGTTCGTCGCGAGAAAATCGAGAAAATGGCGCGGGAGGGAACAATTCGACTGACATTGATTTTCATCTTCGTTTCAACCGCTTCGGCGGATGTTAATTCCTGCATTGGCAAGGCTTTGCTGAGTAAGTAAGAATCACAATTGATTCTAATGCTTCTAATAAAGATTCTAATTCGAATGAATTGTAATCACGATAACCAATTTATAAATTATTATTTTCGATAATATCAACGAAATTAATAATATATAATAATTAATAATAATTATAAAAATTATATAATAATAATTAATAAGATTTAGGAAATGAGCAAAATTGGAAATTAGTAATCAAGTTATTAAAAAAAAAGTAATCGATTGACAATTCGAATGGAAAATTACAAAAGTTCAAAAATTTAAAAAAAGAGAAGAAAATTGGAAAAATTCGTACAATTATAATAAATGTAGAATAACAAATTAGGAGAATTTCGAGATAAAGAAAAGAGAATGAGAGTCGCCAATCATCGAGGAGGAAAATTGCAAATCTTCTTTCTGAACAATCTTCGTTCTTCGTTAGAGAATAAACCGTGAAACGATTCGAAAGGTTCGAAGAATTTTCTCACTGCGATCGTTTGCCTCGATCTCAGCATCGTTGCGCATGAAAATTTACTGCTTTTCGTCACCGTTGAATTCGTCTGGCTCGGTCGAAAGCTCGTTTAACTATAGAGAATTTACAATTCGAATAATCTGTCCACGATCCGTGCCGTGGATTTTCCAACCCCTTCGTCGAATCTTTTACACAACAAGGTTAAATGAAAACGAGAACGACTAATCACGATCGCGCGTTTAAACTTGGAGAAATAATCCTTCCTCTAACCTAGATCGGTTTATGGATCATCTGATCGTAAAAAATGAACGAAAATCGCATCGACGTAATTGATAAGCCCGTTTCGAGGCGAGGAATTATCTTTATTGCAAATAAACGAAATCTATGATCGCGGCGTGATTATTGTAAAAAAAATTATTAAAAAATTTAAAATTAAATTATTAATTTCAATCTAATAAAATAAAATTAATTGAAATTATCAAAAAAAAAAAAAAAAAGTGAAACAGTTGTTGTAAAGATAAGAAATATATCTTTTGCTTTTTTTGCAATAAAATTGCAGGCCAATGAAAATTACACACGCGATGTAATTAAAAGTTGTACACGAAATATTTCGAGCAATGGGAATGGAAACTATAAAAAGAAACGTACAACGTGTTATAATTTCCTATACCTTTGTATCGTTTGCAATTAAGATAATTCCTTATCTGAAATTAATTTCAATGATAAAAATGTATGTATGTACGTATATATGTATCCTTTATCTGAACGTTCGTTTTCGAAATAACCAACTTTCCCCTTCTTTCGATCCTCCCTCCCCTCCTCCCTTAAACTTTTTATCTCTCTCGTTCCCTTTCCCAATTGTTCCGTCCCTTCGGTGTTTTTAAACCGGTTATCAATGCATTGGGATCCTCCAATTACCGAAGAAGAATGGAGAAGAAGAAGAAGAAGAAGTGGTTTCGTTTGTCCCGAGTGCAACACTCGCCCCTCCCCCCTCCCTCCTCCCTGTTGAATAACAGTTTCTCGAAGCGGCAATTAGTCAAGTTCGTTCAACGATCGCGTATCTCGGTTCCGCTCGTGAATATTCCCGTCTAGAGCGACGAGGAGGAACGGAGAAACTGTGCGGACCGGAATACGAAATTTTACCCGAGATGTGACGGGCCTCTACGACGACCCGTGCCCTGATTTCCTTTCCACCAGTTTTCCGCTCCGACCGGCAACTCCTTCCTACACCTTGGAGTCTTGAATCGTCCCGATTAAAAAACTATTCGATTTCGCCGGAAGAAAGGGGGGGAAGGGGAGGGAAAAGTTTCTGGAACTTTGGCGATTCGCAAAAAAAACTTTTTTTTCCCATTCTTGGGAAATTTATCTTAAGAAGAGAGAGAGAAAGAAAGATAGAGATAGAGAGAGAGAGAGAGAGAGAGAATAATTAGAGAAATTTTTAATGGAAAGAAAGTAAGAAAAAGTAAGGAGAGTAAGTAAATTCGAATGGATTCCTCTAGGGAAATACTTAATTAACGGTGGAAATGTATCTAGGGAATTTGTCATTGTTCCGGGGGGATCGTCTAGGGAAAAGATTTAGCGAAAATAAAAAGGATTTGAGAGAGCAAACAGAAGAAAGAAAAAGAGAGTAATTTATTTTCCATTAATTTATATATATATGTGTGTATCGTAAAATGGAGGAAAAAATCCCTAGAGAAGGGAAATAAAATAGAGAAGGATAGAATTATCGATCGAGATGGTCGAGAATGATCGAGAAAGATGTTCTCGAAGGAATAGAAATAACTGGGGGGAAAACTTTGAATGGAGGTCAGCAGCCAAGGACTATTTATTTAACAAGCTGGCAAGTCCATTCCCGGCGAAATCCATTTAACCAAGTACTACGACAAGAGAATAGAGTTAGCAGCAGGTGTCGGCTGAATCGTTACTACGTAACAGGCCAAGCCTTCCTCATTTCCACTGCAAAAAGAAACCAGTATTCAGTATTGCCAACCGATTCGCTATTTTTTCATCCAACCAATCTAGTAATAACGGCCGAATCTCTTCTTCCTTCGTTTAATGAAAAAAATCGTGACACGGTTGGAAATGGGAATAGAAACAAATATAATTGAATTAACAAAGAAAAGAAAAAAATGTTAAATCAATCAATCAATCGTGGTAAGAAAATTGTAAAAATTGAAATTGATCGCGATCTTTTTCTAAATTTTCGTGTGAAATTTGAATTTGATTAATCAATTTACAGTTTTCCCCTAGGTTTCGTAAAAATAATAACCTGGGAATAAAATTAAACGTTTCGCGTCGCGTTTGCGGTAATTTCAGTTTTCCCAGCAACGAGGGGAACGTGGAAAATTGGAAACAAAGAAAATTATTTTAATTTCCGCGGTAACCTGATGTCGGGTTGTACATGGAAACGTGGCGCGAATTATTCAGAATTTGAATAATTCCACCGTCGTTACGACAAAACCACGAAAGGGGAGGAGGGGAGAATGATAACTCTCGCGACCTGTTAAGAGGCGAAATTGGTCGAATATTTTCGCGATATAAATTTAAAATTTCAGAAATTCGAGCAAAGATCGACGCGAGTCGCTTTTGAATGATGATACAAAACCTAATTACCCTCGATTATTCGACTTAAAAAAGATCTTATTTTACACATCATTGTATCGTTTATTTCGAAAAGAATTATTTAAGGGAGGGGAAGAAAAGAAATAATGGATTGCAGATCGTGAAGGATTGATTTGCAATAATACATTTCTTATTTCAGATGTGATAAAATAAAATAAAAGTAAATTCGACGTGATTAAGCAAATAATTATAAAAGATATTACAATTAATTGGAAAAGAAAGAAATTGATTGTAAACCGTGGAGAAAACGTTTCTCGTTTATGTGTTTAAATTTGGTAGAATAAATTCGTGATTTAAAAGAGATTGTATTGTTTCGAGAGAGGAAAAAAAGAAAAGAAGAAAAGAGGGAACAAAACAGATTTGCAGTGGGGAAAAAATTTTTTTTCCCTCCTCGACTTCCGATGATACATTTGTACCGGAATTATTAATATCGCCGAATAAATTCGATGCAATTAAAAGGACAAGGGATAAAATAAACGTAGAACGGAGAAAAAAGAGTGGAAGAAGAAGAAGCGAAGCAACTTTATTGCTCCGCTTTCGTCCATCTGTGTGCCGGCCTAGCTTCATGAATAATTCATCTCGTATATTATTTACGGGGAGAAAATTGAAATCTATTACATTTCAATACGACTGTGCATCGATTCGACGATAAAAATAGCGTATTCACCCTGTGCGAGCAACCACGAAATTCGATTGCATTCACGAATTAAAGCAGTTGCTACTTAATTACGGGAAATCCGTGCGCTCTACACTGACATTCTACACTGACACCAAGATGGTTGGTCGAATTGTTATTGAAAACGGTACTCTTTGCTCGAAACTCTCGTTTCACGTACGGGCGAAAATGAATAATGGTGATAATAATTCTTCGCAAATTTCACGTGTAAATTTCAAATTTAAATTTTTTCCAAGTATTGAAAATTTCATTGGCCTTTAATTAAATTCGACGATGTTCAATATCCAATATCAAGGATTGAATTTCTTCAAGTTAATCGATAGACGGTAGTGGAAGTTGGTAAAAATATTCCCTAAGATTTTGAGGGAAAATTCGATTGCCAATTCCACGTCTCGTCTCGAGACAGAAATTTGCATTCTTTGCTGCTCGTCGAGGAGCTAAAAGTTATTAAGGAGAGGAATATGGAGGGACAAAAGTTGTCCGTGGAAAAGACAGAGGGAAACGTCGTTAAAGCAGATTCCTTTAGAGAAAGTTTCTGTCAAGTTGGCCAATCGTGGTGACTAAGGAAACGAACGAAAGAAAAGAGAGGGAAAGAAAGAAAGAAAGGAAGAAAGATGGCGACAAATTTTAACGAGTTAAAGTTTCGTGAATTGACGTTGACGTTTATATAAAAAAAAGTATTGAAAGGAATATATTTTGTTACTTGCGAATCACCCTATATAAAATACTTCTTACTATTCTCTGAAGATTTTGCTCGCATTAGATCATCCTTAATTTTCCCTAAAGGCTTGTTAATCTTAAACTTAACTGATGTTCAGAACAATCGAGTTTGAAATTTAGTTAGTATTAAATTTCCTACAAAGATTCACATTCAAAAACTAAAAAAACATTCTGAACTCTTCGATTCTTCGTCTATCTTCGTCGTGTCATTTCAACGTTATATCATTATATTTTTATATCTTGACTTTTTTCAGAAACGAAAATAATTTCAGTCGGAAAATTTATTTCTCATAAGAAATAAAAAAATTCCGAATATAAAGAATTAAATCTTATTGATATAATGGATTTATTTATAGAATCCGACCAAGTATCCTGTCAAGATAAACAACTAATTTTAGATGAGCATAATGATATTAGACAAAAAATAAGTTTTGGAGAGATCCAAGGAATGCCTACTGCTGCCAATATGAGAGAGCTGGTAAGAGATAATTTTCGCTCAATCTTCTCAATATTTACTTAAAAAAAAAAATTTAATATAACTTTTAACTTGTGGCCATTATTTTTATGCAAATTTATCTTCGAAAATAAAATCAGTGATTCTTTTTTCAGACCTGGGACGATGAACTTGCTGATATGGCGCAAAATTGGGCAACTAAATGTGCTGAGATCCGCGATCCTGTCAGACATATTCGTGAGTAGATTTGCGATAATTATTTTAAGAATTATAATCATTGAGAAATCTCTCTTGAATTTGACAAATATCAGTCATTTTGACTAGTAGCGATACAAAATTATTTTAATTTTGAATAAATATATCATTGGTGGGAAAAAATATAATACGAAATAAGAATTTTAAAATAAAATTGTAATAATTTTGATTGGTATGGTAATTCTAGTGTTAATAAAAAAATATTTTCAAAAAATTAGGAATGCGAGAAAATATTGAAAGTTCAGTCAAAGAATGTTTATAGAAAAATGATATTCCCTATATGCTCATAGTTACACGAGTTACTTTCGAGAAGTATTTTCCGTGTGCATCCCTCTGGTGGTGGGTATAGGAAAACTGACACATAAGTTATCTACTTAATATATGTCCCATGACAGATCCTCCAATTTTTCTTCTCTCTTCTGTCTTCTTATGAAACATCTGATATTCAGACGTGTAAAAATATAAATTTTTTCTGTTCAATCGTTATTTAATGTATTCACTATTGATTTTGACATTCTATCCTTATAAAAAATATATATTTCTAAAATGATATTTCTCTATATTTCTATGAAAATTTGAATAATATTGAAAATTTTAAATAGGAGTCTTTTATCATAGAAAATGATGTTCAAGAATATAGATGGCTCTGTTCAGCTCGTAATGTCTGAGTACCATTGATTTATCCAAGAATAGTATATATATATATATAATTTATAAATTAAAATAAATAAATAAACAAATTAGAAATAAAAAATCATCGAGATAAAAGAAAGAACGATTGACTGCTCTTTCGACAAAGAAAAAGATTATAGATCACGATTAATGATGATCGATGTATACAGGGGGATTCTATGTGGAACAAAATATGCTTAAAACAATTTCATCGACGCAATTCAACGATTTGCCAGACTGGCGTCAAGCGATCTACAATTGGTTCAACGAAGTGCAATATAAGGGCGGTATTAGCCATTACAATCAGGTTGATAGATCTTTTTAAATACATTTTCTATCCTTTAAAAAAGAAATTACTGTATTTTATGGTCATCATATTGATTCAATTTCGATTAAAATAATACAAAAAATTAGTCTCTTCTTTTCATATTTTTGTTTTTCATTGAACTTCTTTTTTACCTTTAGAACATCTTCTTTTTATGTTTACACAATTGTTGGTAAAAACTAACAATTTAGATTCTATAATGATGTAATGAAAGATTCTTATTTTTAATCAATAATCACTTTTATCTTTAATAAAGAGAAAATAATTGTTTAATATAATAACTGAAAAAATTAAAAAATTAATAAACTGAATATTCAACTAAAAAAAAATGATGACTGCAATATTATTTAAAAAAATTAATAAAAAACTCTAGCTTTTAATAAAACATAAAAAAATGCATATAAAAAAGCAGTAACTCTGTTATGAAGTATGTTATCCTTTCTTAAAAAATGCAAAGAGATATGAACCAGATTTTTATTTCAGATATTCTGGGCTAATAGTCATTTAATAGGCTGTGGTTATACTTACTATTTTGATGCGGGCCATGGATACATCAAAAATTACGTATGCAATTATGCACCTGGGTGAGAATTTGATCTTTATTTTCAGTCAATTTTTCCATATTCTTCTCTACATTCAAATCTATGTCGCGAATTTTCTTCAAAAAGAATTTTCGCAAAATGATTGTTTTCGAAATTATTAATTAATTAAGATTTTTAGTATTTTGGTAAAAATCAATTTTTAATCGATTTCAGTAGATAGAAGGAAATGGAAAATCTGATGGCCTCAATATTTCTTATAAAAGAGATCGGAGGCTTTCATATGAAATGACATATTGAATCCAACCATAAATTTTGTTGCTTCACATATATTTCCTGTCGATCGCCAACTTATTACCGCCGATAAATTGAATATGCCATCTTTTTTTACTCTAAATAGGCCAATTGGAATCCACAATTTTCGCAAACTTGTGTCTCGATCGAATTTTTAGAAAAATTTCTTCAAAATTCTTTAAATCCTCAAATGATTCTTTCAAATTTTATCAAACCAAATTGTAAGCAATTGAGTTTATTTCTATTTTTCTAATTGTCTAATGTTTAAAAAGAATTGAAAAGAAAGATAACAAGATTAAGAATTTGAAAAATATAATAATTTATCGAAATAGAAAAAAAAGAAATGTAAATATATTTTTTTTCTAAAAACTGTCTCAAATTGTCTCAATTTCGATAATTTATGAAGTTTCAATTGTAAAACTCTAAAACTCTAAAATTCTAAAACTTTATAATTTCATGTAGTTTTAGTTTCATAATTCTCTACAACTTTTCACAATTGCTTATAATTATGTTATCTCTTGTAAATTTATATAGTTTTACATAAATTTCTATTAATTCTAAAAATACCATTAATTTTATAACCTAAAAATCCCTAAAATTCTCTTTAGCTGTTAATAATTAATATTTTCTCACTATCTAGTTATTCTAATAATTATATCTAAATAATCTCGAATGTTTCTAGTAACTTTTCATAATTCTTTTAAAATCTCTAGTAAAAAGTTACAAGTTCTAGTAACTCTATCAATATCCCTAAACAATTTCTATTGATTCTAATTATTTCTTCACAATTCTCTATATCTCTACTAAATATTTTCAAATATTTTTTAATAATTTTAATAGATTTTAATCTTATCTAATTTTAATTTAATTTAATCTAATCGTCTTAAAATCATTTTGTTTATCGTATTCAGATTATATTCTTACATTGTAGCGATAACGTAGACGGTCATCTACCGTATGAGCAAGGCCAACCTGCCTGTAGCAATTACGGGATGACTTCTTCAAGTCGATTTAAAGGCCTTTGTTGTAAGTATCATAATAATGATTCTGTTCATCCATTGGCATCAATTTCTTAAAAAAAAAAAAAAAAAAAAGAATAAATTTATCGTTTTTAAAAAGAAAGAAAAGAAAAGAACACTCCTCTGCAATCTGTAATAAAATTTTTAATCCTGTAATAAATTCATATTCTTTCATTTTCAGCTGCAGGAACCAATAATTATCTGGGAACCCGGTGCAATTAATTGCTGTTTAAATGCTGTTTAAATGAAAACAGAAAAACAAAGTTCACATATTTTTATCAATGATCGATTAAGGCTGATCCATAGATTATATTTATTATCTATTCGATTTGATTTGTTGTTCTAGTCTCTGGAAAATAATCCGTGATTATAAAAACCAAATTTGTTAAAAAATATTTAAATTAGAATATTTATATATTATATAAGGATATATTATGTATATTATATATATATATATATATACATATATTTGCTTGTATAATAAAATGTAGCATCATTCCATATGGCTAACTGTTGCATGTTCATGTTCAGTATGTCTATTTCGTTAACTTGAAATTCGATTATTTCGCTGGCGAATATATAAGACAAAGCTATATAAAAAAAAATTTATTATATTGAAAATATTCGACAATATAATACGTTTTACTGTAATATAATAATAACTATATTACGAATCTTATCATGTAAAATACAATCTTGTAAAATAATAATAATATTAATATCATTCATAGAATATTTAATAAGGTCTCCTGCTACGTATGTATTTTGACTTAAATTTTTAAAGATTATTGAAAAAAAAACTTAACATTTCATATTAAATTATGAATCAAATTATTACATTTTCAATAAATAATTTATATTTTATTCATAAATAAATGGTAAAAATTATAAGAAAATTTATTATTGATTGAAAAAGGGAATTATTCTAATCAAATGATTATTAAAATATTAAAAAAATAACGAATCTTTATAATAAAAGATCTCTTCTAACATCTTTCAATATTTTTGTCAATCTGATCAAGATATCATATCTATGTTAAATGTGCACCACAGTATTAGATCCAAAAATTAAATAATTTAGATTTCTTTTTATTTCTCTTCTTCATTTATTTAACAATAAAAAAAGAAATATAGTAAAGCTTAATCTTCACGCATAGATATAGTTTGAACATCTTCAGAATCTAGCATTTTATATAAACGGAAACTTGGTACGTCATTTCACGAAGCTGCTTCTCATTTGATTCCTTTGCTTCTTATGCATTTTACATCGCAACCGTTACGTGACTGCAACTACAAACGCAAAGATATAAATATTTACGGGCAAGAAAGATAAGATGCGTGCTTTTCTTTCATAATCCATATATATTTTTTTTTTAACTATTTCAATTAATTCAATTCATTTCGAAAAGTTTAATCATCGATTACGTAGAAAAAAACACAAATTGACTTTCATTACCGAAAAAAATATTTCAACCAATTTAATTGTACTATTATAATAAATTCTTATTCAAATAATTATTTAAGTAAAATATTTAGTTTATTTATTTTAATATTGATAATTTACCAATAATTATTTATCTTTTTCATATCGAAATGATATAATTCTGATTCTGAAATACAGTTTCAACATAAGCTTCGACATAGTGAAAAACTTACAGCTATATAATTTATAGTGAAAAATTGTTGTTCTAATTAAAAAGAATTAAACTTTATTCGTATAATATAATTGATAATAAAATGTATCATCGCTATTTATCTCTTCGAAACAATTTGAAAAGTTTCGAACCAAAACAAAAAAAGGAGAATAAAACAACAAATTTTTTTCATTCGAACAGAGAAACCTGTCATATAAATACGAACGTGCATGTATATTACATATAGAATTATCGTTTAATAAAACACAGCGGTGAGATAAAATGGTGGATTATATGAGCGCAAAAATCGCAATAAAGTTTAATATTCCCTTATTCGAGCAGAACGAAATCCCGGATATCCGAGCGACTGGCTTCCTCCACAATTCTCTTGGATTTATTGGTATCGGCCTGTGGCCTGCCGCATTGTTGTGTCATTTAATCGAAAAAAAAAAGATAACCTCGAAATCTCTAACCTTGATCGAGATATCATGAAATATTTGTACCTTATATTCATTTTAATCTTTTTATTATCCAACCAGTTTCTTTTTTTATTCTACTTAAATATCCTATATATTTCTATTTAAATATCATATAAATAAAATAGTTAATCAAGATAATTTTAATTTATTTAATCTTTTCTCCATTTTTCTTTTATTAGTAATTATTATTATATAATAAAAAAATTAAAAGTCTCTTGGAAAAAGATAGTTGAATCACTCAATAAATTCAATTTTAGGATTTTAAGTTTATAAAAATATTTGTTTTTATAGATTGTAAATAATAATATTAATTATTAATTAATTAAACTAACCCATTGTAAGTTCTAAACTCTTTATTTTACTTCTTATAGAAATAAAAATATTGAAGGAAATCCTAGACACTTATAAATATAAAAATATGAATTTCTGATTTCTCTGCTTCAAAATAGATCTTCAAAATAGCATTATATTTAACAATATCTCGAGAAATTTCAATTGACATGTTTAACAGTGTAACTCCCAAAACACAGGAAATGGAACATCGCATAAAGCCTTAACAAAACATCTTCATGACTGTATGTTGTGTTTGAATTACAGCTTCCCCACACAACTAGTGCAATAACAGTTGGTAACTCTACAGGACAATAGCTCTAGGCATCTTCAACATGGTAGATGAAAATCAAACATTGTGTGATACAATCGATTATAAATCGAAATTTTTATCCTAGAACTAGGGATCAATGTACATTGAAGACATGAAAAATTCTAAAAAAAAATATATAAATTATAATTAGGCCAATCTTTTCATATTCATTTCCCATTTTTTGAGAAACTTATTAGGGAAAAAATTTATCAACAAAATTAACAATTAACTAATATTAACAAATTAGAAAAATTTAAAAAAAGAATAAAAATTATTAATAAAAAATAATATTGGAACAAATATGACAAAATATGTTATAAAAATATGGAAGGCACAGTCCAGAAAATTTATTGCCATCTATATATGTGTTTCTACATTGAAGATATACATTTCTGAAATAAATTTTTGGTCGTTTTATATCTAAACGTATAATAATTAGCCATAAATGCACATTTGTTGGTTCAGAGAAATTAAAGATCTGCACCATGAAAAATAAAAGTACATATTTTATAATAAATGAAATTATAATTGAATCATAAATTTTCAATTAATTTTTATTAATTTTCAAAAAACAGAGGAAAATTTATTTTTTAAAACATTACAAAAAATATAAATAGAAATTTTTTAATGAAATTTGTTTTAAAAAAAAACTTTCTTCAATGTTTATTTTTTTAAACAAAATTTAAATTTTATTTACGGATCATGTAAAAAAAATTAATCGATATAGTCTTAATTATTCGCTTAAGTTGTATAAAATACACACGAGATTTCGTTAAAATTGCCATAAGATAAAAATATTTGAATTTTTAAATTTCAAAAATATCTTATTATTTATGATAATTTATAAAAAACATTTAAATTTCATTATTTAATGAGCACATATCTTTAAAATATTTTAAAGAGAATGTTTTCTCATATAACAATTTTAATGCGTTATAATTTTATCCAACGATAAAAATTTTTTAAAGATTAAATTTACATCACGCAATCCATGAACAAAATTTAAATCTCTGAAAATTTACACATTAAAATAATTATTATAAATCTAAATAAAATGTCAGATTAATTTAATACATTGTTATCTAATATATCTAATTAATTATTATTAATGAAAAAATTAAATAAGCAAAACCCGATTAGAAATAATATCTTATCTAATCGAACAAACGACAACTGTATCGTAAACCGAGTATCGATTTAATCGATTAAGCATCGATATGCTTTTACCTCATGGATCAAATTTCTCTATAAATGTCTGCTTACTAATGACAGGCGTATGTAAGTACGATGAATTGGCTCAAATTGAATTTGAGAGACGATAGCACGAAATCAAGAATCGAGAATTAATTAAGACTTGCGAAGTGAGTTCCACTTTCGTGGCCTTTGATAATATTAAAAATTTAAAAGAATTCTGCCCTTTGAGAAAAACTAGGTCTCTAAAAAAGACTTGTTTGAAAAGAGACTCGATGATTAAGATTATACGATTATGCTCAGTTTAGTTACATTTACATTTAACAATCTTCAAAGTTTATCATATGCTATTTATATTCGAAGAATAAAATATTTATAGAAAAAAAAATAAAAAAATAAAAATCGCATAGATCCAAAAAATAATGTGTCGAGGAGAATTGTTGAAAATTATTACGCTAGAAAAATTATAATGAAAATTCGATATAGCTGTGAGAGAACTGAACTGGTGTTTGTAAAGATTAAATGAGCCATGTTTAACAAGGGAAATAAAATATAAGATATAATATCTAAAATATTTCGGTATTCGGCTAAACGACAAGAAATTCGGTGTTTTATGCGGTCGTTACTGTCGCGCGGTTCTCGAGGATCGTCGTAAAGAAACGGATACAACCATGTAACATAAGTGAATTTAAAATAGCAGCTAACTTTAGTATTCCATTAAAATTCTTTTCAACATTTCTATCGTACGTAAATTACAACAAATAGTTACGATTTTGAAAAAAATTTGAGTAAGAAGATTTGAGATAAAAATTGTAGAATAACGAAAATTAAAATAATACGAATATTTAGAATCACGACAACAATTTTATTCTATCCAAATAATGACAATATTGCGACTACAAATTGTACATAATATAATCTACATAATTTTTTTATCTTTCCATATGTCATTTTTATTAAATGCTATAAATAAATAGTTATAAAAAAATTTTTGTACGACACATTTTATTGTCGTGATTCCAAAACTTATAAGCGAATTGGATCACTGAACCGATGTTTCATTTAAATAATATTTATTCTGATTTTAAAATATATGCACAACAGCTTAGATATTATTCACAATCAGGTATTTTCTCCCCATTTTTTTTTCTTCTTTTCAATTAACAATTATATATATATATATATATATATATAATATATAATCTTTACAATTTGCAATAAGATAAAACTAAGTTATCAAAGATATTACGACTGAGAATAGTTCGTAAGAATTGAATTCAAAATCATCTAACTAATCGGCCTTCCGGTTTATCAAGAATCTGACAATGATCACAGATCAGTAGAACGTCGATTCGATTTACGACAGAAGAAAGACCTAGTATAATATTTTTGATATTTATATCATTGTATAATTATCGTTTTATTAAAGTATCTCTTATACCATTTTTTTTTATTTTTATCCTTTTTTTTTTTTTATTTTTCCTTTATTATTATACGATTCGACTGTGCGCCGAATATGGGATATGAGACGGTCGATCATGGAAGCGAGCTTAATTACTTATTTACTTGGGTAATATACTTAATAATCTTTTGTTTTTTTTTTTTTTTTTTTTTTTTAATTTAATTAGTTCTTTTAACCCTAATTCGCTTATTTAGTTTTTCTCTGGTATTATATGTTTTTTGTGCAATCGCGTAGTCATTTTGTCTGTTGTTGGTTCTCCGACCGAGTAGGCGAAATATCAAAGCCTGTGAACAGAGATCGAAACTTCGAGCTACATATTACATTTCTTGATAATATAATCTTTCACTTAGTTCTTTAAATTATTTTTCACTCATTCGCAAAGAAGTAATTGTTGTCGTTGATTTACATTCGTTATTTTTATGGGGTGGTTTTAATATCGTGGTCCTTATTGGCGATATCTTGCATTTCGATCTCTACTGGGAAAAATCGTGAATCGTTGCCGATAGAAAGAACAGGTGATCTTCAGAAATGCCGCAAAACAGAAGAAACAAATTGTCTTCACGTTTTAGGCCGATTGGAAAAATCCTGGATTTAAAACGAATCCAAAAGATTATGCTGTATTAATATAAAAAAAAAAAAAAATAATAAAATAGAATATGAACAAAAAATTATAAATACTTTATTTTTGTTATTTAAAGTACTAGTTTTATGAAAAGTAGAAATCTTTCAATTCCTTTACAATGCATGTCTGATTTCTCCTGTTCTTTTCTTCCCTTATCACAAGCTTGATTATCACGTTCGTTGCGTGCTCGTAAGCACGCATGCGCGCGCATGTGTGTGTATATGACGACTTGTAAACATTTTATTTTGTTAAACTCGACAAATACTTGTAACAACATTAAAAATTGTGACAACAATAAGAAAGAGATAAATCGTACTAAGAACGATGATTAGAGATTAGTGCAGAAATATTGAGAGAAATATTGTTCGACGGTGTGATAATATAAAAAACTAAAGTGTATTGAGCTGCAAATGCCCACGACGGATTCCTGAACTTTTTTTCATTTTATTATATATTCTCGAACCTTGCGAATACTTTTCTAAGTCAGTCCAATTGGACTCGAACCACTAACTAAAATTGCAAAAAGAAAACTCGAAGTGCCAAAAAAAAAAAGAAAAAAAAAAAAAAAAAAGAAAAAGTACAACTTCGAAAATATATTTGGCACTTGAAACGTCTTATCGATAAGGTAGTTGATCTACCTCAACTTTCCATCTTGATTGGTAATCGGTTATCAATCAATTAACAGGGAAATTTGTTACCGACCGTAAATCTTCTTATCGAATGCAAACCTTTTTATCGGCATTAAATTAATTGAATCGAATTCCATATACCAGTATTCGCATTTGCAAATTGTGCATGCCATACGCATGACATATACATACATATATGTACATTAAATTATGATCATATTTAAATTGATATTTCGGGCCAGAAAGCAATTTTTAGTTGCCCCAACAATATCTTTACATCATATTTTTCAATTGTTTTTTTTTTATATACATGATCTTCAGTATTGTATTTGTACGTGATTTCATTAATCACAACGGGCAAAAAAAATACGTTTCTTTAATCTAAAAGACAGCGCGTGTCTCTTCTCCCTTCGTTCCATGATTTTTTTGTTGCTTTCTTAAAATATGTTAACTATTTGAACTAAATATTGACAATTTGTCAGCTCATGAGATAATACTTTGATGCTTTTAATAACTATGACTACTTTTTTATTTTTTAGGATATTGCTCAAAATATGATGAATGATATTTGAAATTCTTTTTAACGAGAGATATCTAAGTTCTGGAATCAAGCTTGATTAATACTACATTAGATATAAGTATTAAGTGTAAGTACACGTGTGAAATTGAAATTTTATTAAATAAATTTAGATTAACTTTAAATTCCAAAACTTACACTGGAGGAAGACATAGGTCCTAATCTGCTGTAAAATTGTGATGGAAAAGTAAATATGTTTCACAAAAATATTTGCTTTTATCTACAAATAATTTTGTAGAATTTTTAAAAATTATAGTGTACAAAGATACTGTATCAAGATCTGATCAAGATCAAAATTTTTTTTTTTTAATTTTATAGGCAATAATCTGAGATCTTGATCAACAACATGCACACAAAAAGAAATACGCAATAGCTGGTAGTGAAAAATGCTGGTGAATCGCATTTCGCTGACAATCGGTAGCAACAATAAACTTTAATAATTCTACAATGTTGCTTAAATGAATGCTAATTTGAAATTCTTATAAAGAAGCGAATGGTAAATTTATAAAATCTAAAGCATTCTAAAGTATTTGTTCTCTGAGCACAATGATAAAAAATTATCTTTTGAAAAGTATTTTAAAAATATTATAATAATGCTGATCTTAAAGCTTGGTACAATTATTACTTTCGCGAATCTGTGCCTGCACACTTCGAAATGTTCGATCGAAAGTATCGAAAACTTGTCCCAAGCCATCTAATTTTCTCTACAGCAAGTACGAGCCGACGTATATTGTTAATAATATATTATCGAACTGCGGGAGGGAGCGTTTCACGGCCTTTTAGACCTCTCGACGAAAAACCAATATTGGTCGATATTGGTCGTTGCAATCGTTCAAAATTATCAAAGATACCACCGACAAACCAGGATCAAGAAATTTTTATACACTTGAATATCTTGATACATGAGAAAAAAAAATTTTCTTCATTCTCTTTTCTTAAGAAATATTGGACCATTGTATATCGACTCTTCGAATATTTTGAACGATCGTCTTAAGGATTCACAATGTTTTCTCGATCCATGCGTGTGATATAAAATAGCTCGAGACTCGTGAACATTAACTAGGGATGAAGGATCCAGTCCTTCTTTTTATCATTTTAAAACATTCCTCGAACTCTCGACTAAATTCTTACTTATAAATAGAACTCGTTTATCTTTGCATAGATAACGCGTGGAGGCCACACCGAGTTACTTTAATAAGCGGACGAAAATGTTTACGAGAAAAACATGTTCTAAAACATTCTCATAGTATCATACAAGACTCTTAACTCTAATCAGAGTATTGTCTGAGACAGGACAAAATATAACGTGATTCCTGATAGTTTGAGAATCTCGTGTGATACAGAATGTTTGAATATTTTTCACTAATTTTAGATAAAAAAGAAATAAATGTACAGTGGCATAACCTCTGATCTCGCTGTGCGATAGAATGAACAAAATTCTACATATTATTAAAAGTCAAATATCATCGAGATAATAATTATCGATCAAACGAAATTAATATACCGTTGTTATATCGAAAAAGAAATAAGAAAACGAATGGCAGTTGCGACTAGAAGAAGAGTAGAAAATAGGCGAACATGGCGGAACTCTACAGCCGTCGATCAGTAAATTAGAGATCAATAACTTGTACAGCCCTCCCGGGGCTTCATAAAAAGCTCAAAAAGCGATTCTAAAGGGTTGAGAGAAGCGGTAAGACAATTTTGAAACCTGCCAACATTCTTAGGAAAACAGAAATCCTGTTATGAAACCTCTATTTCCGCTCCAATTGAGTAGAACACTACAAAAATAGTGTGAACTCTTCGATACAAATACATATACGAACGAGTATATCTTCGATCCATTATATAAAAAGTAGAAAAAGTAATATGGTGACCACAGCGGCATAAAGCAAGGTTTGAAGCACGAACCGGTTTTCTATCTTTCTCTCTTCAAACCAGATTGGATTAAATATTTTAATGTAATTTCACCCTTCGCACCATTTTCTTCGTTTATATTTCTTCGATAAATTATCAATTTTCTTCATTTTCAGTAGAAAATTCTATTTAATGCAAAGTAACAATAAAAGAGATAAGCGTTGCTACCACGTATAGCTTGTATTTTGTTCGCTGTTTTAAATCAGGTGCAATGGGTGAAATGTGAAAAATACAAGATTATAGAAAAGAAAATATACAAAGAAGATAACTTCATCTACTTCTTCGCATCGCCAATCCATTCGAGCTCCACACTTGCATAACATAAGCGTAAAAAGGCTGCACTCGTTTCAATAATGTCTTTTAGGCTAAACCGTCTGTATTTAACTTGTCTAAACCCTGTGTGTGATTTTCTCACAATTGCTATCTCGATTTCGGTGAACCGATTATCACGAAGAAGGTTGTGCGTGTTGACGCTATCCTTTTTTTATCGTCAATTATCGTTAAACATACTAGACATAATAATCTACGTAATAATCTCGGATAGAATATGCAATTTTCACCATATTTCTATCTAACACTTTACTTTTAACTCTCGTATGTAATATGTCGTATTTGAATATCTTTCCAAGTTCTTTCTTTTTCCAAGTTTTTCTTTCTTTCGTGTCATATTTAACAACCTGCAACACTGTCATTATTCTTAAGGATTCTATGTCTTATGATGTTTCTCTTTATCCAGATTGAATTTATCATATCGATCAATCGACGGATTATCATTTTATTCGGTTTATGATTCTGTGGAGCTCGTTTCACTCATTTTTCTCAGATAGTCTGAATTTTCAGCGATTTGATACGAAATTCTGTAATGATGAGTAGGTCGCTATAAGCTTCATCATCTAGCTGAAGCTGAAACGATGACGTTACTTTCTGATTTTTTCTACTGCTTGGAACCTGGGCAGGCAAAGACCAAATTTTGTTTCGATGCCGGTAAAGATCGGTAAGGCAATCTGATAGCCTCCTATATGGTCTGGGTTAGTCGATCGAATCTCTTCTGCCACTCCTATCGCAGGCACCTTTTGCTCCGATCCCGTAGGTCGTCTGAAAATATCGTTTCAAATTATACGAAATAAATTAATAATAATTTCGAAAAAAAATTATTGTATAAATAACGATACATTTTTGGCTAATATGTGTTTGGATTTATTGAAAATTTATAACAATCAAATTGAGCGTATAGATAAAAACACAATTTTAATTTCTTAAGAATATACTTACCAAAACAATAAGGAGTTTCAATTTTTCTTAATTTGCATATACTTAATCGAAATGAATAAATGATTATTGAAAGCAAATAAAAATTAGTAAATATGAATAAAATATATACTCACGTTCCACCAAAATCAACTACGAACAGCCTTTGCAGAAGTTCATAAGTGAAAAGGGTGACGCCGAATTGAGGTGATGATCTGAATACTCGGGCTGTAAAATGGAAGAATATTATGAATAAAATCATTTGATAATTATTAAATTTTCACACACTGGTTTATATTCTTTGTCTGAATAAAGAATTGAATCTTAAAAGTGAATATGAATGTTATGACCTTCTATGAATAGACACATCTTCAGATTGAACATTGAAAATACTCGAAAAATCTGCTCCCTTGGACTAAAATTGACAACGAACGTGATTAGTATCATAAATTAATAAATAATGGATAAAAATGAAAGAAAAATCAAGTTAAAGATAAACCGTGCGATGTAATGTTTTCTGACAACCACTCTGCATAACAAAACAATAAACCTAGTAAAAAAAACAATTACACAAACGGATTAAAAGAAAAAATGACTAAACGAAGAAATAAGAGAGTGGTTGGGAAATGGAAAAAATCACGATAATTGGCAGGCAGAGAGAAAAAGAAGTACTCACTTAGAAGTAAGTTGCCAAGTCATATTGGAGAAAGAATAGTCGATAGATGCAGTAGGGCCAACGCCCACGCATGCGATCGACCAAATCAAAAATGTATTACTAACTTTCTCAAAGTAGAACTTAAAATAAATGTCACGACCCGATATAGCTACGAAATTTGTCCCGAATTTAATATTATTTCGAAATAGAATCTAATACCTGTGGCTCCTTTCCAAAATGCTCTTGCACCTTCTTCCTTGTAAATTTTCTTTGCACAGTCTAGTAACCCAGTATATGTCGTTTGACCTCGTCTCGCTATAACCTAAAATCAAATTAATGCATTGATTTTTTTTTTCTTCTTCTTAAAGAATAATGAATGAACAAAAAAATTTAGTATAGAAAAATCATACTTGTAATCTAGTTTTTATTACATCTGCAGGAGTGACCAGCGCTGCTGCAGGAATACCAGCAATCGCACCAGATACTAATAACGACAGAGGATTATTATATCCTCCTTCATCCGCTAATCGTGCCTTTGTATGAGCATATACTGGAAAATAAATTGCACTGAAAGGAATATCCCTCAAGAAACATGCTCTAGCACCCTAAAATATAAAAAAATCCAATTTTCTCATTGCATTACATGTCACGTTTTTTGTTTGATTATAGATTAATCGTGTACCCACTTTGTACAAGCCAAACAAGCCTAAGTCTTTTACGACAGTCCAAGCTCTAACTTTAGACCCGCCTGCTATTTCTCCAGCCACTTGCAATCGAATTTTCACAATTTCTAAAGGATTCGTAAATATTACTTGAGAACCTCCAGCCTGAAAAATAAACGAAATTTTACTATATATTTAAAATAAAGATCGATCATCTATAATGAAATGTCAAAGGATATTCTTACGGATCACTTACACAAGCACCAGATATAATTTCCCCGTAAAGGGGCAAGTTTCCTTTTTTATCCATGAACTTATCTCTGACAAAATCGTTAACGGTCAGCTTAATGGCCTTTTCTGGTGCTACACCCATCAATTGAGGTAACAAACCTCGGTAAAGGCCAAAAAAACCTTCGTGCCGGATCACCTGTCAAACGCAGGACACCAACTTCATAATTAAAAATGCAGGCAATGTATCGTAGCGAGACTTTTCGATTCCAACCTTTTGGAAGCAGTCAAAGCTGTTTCTATACATTAGCTCCCCAACCAACGATCCAGTCCTCTGATTCTGCATTCTTGTTTTCACCAAATCAATAGGATATACGGCTGTAGCGCCAACAGCTAAAGAAAACATTCTGCATCTAGTTTTTCTTATTTCCAACTATTGTATAACTCCATTCTTCATTGAATAGTTGAAGAAATTAATAAACAATTTTCCAAATCATTTTTATTTATTAAATTAGAAGAATTAATGAGCTTGGAATTCCAAAATCCTTCATGGCTGTATAAAAAAGAAAATGGATAATAACGATCATTGAACTTACCTCCACCTATGGACCCTAGAACGAACCGATAACCGCTTTCGAGTATCTGTACGATCACTCCACGCTCATCAGGACTCTGAAACAAAAATACTGACTATTGAACAACAAAACTGACATAATTTGATTGATGTAAATTGTTTCCATCTGGTAATTCTGGTATCAGCTGATTGGCTTGAGTGATCTTCTTGTGTGGCCACACTTACCGATACCGCTTTGATCTCTGCTAAGCGTTTCGTGATTTGCTTGAAATATTGCTCAGGAGTAAGAGCCACAAGATCGCTGTACACTATTTTCCTGAAATCCGAGAAAATGTGTGCTCAATACGTAGATCCGTAGCCACGTAGCAAAGATAAAGCAGATTAGAAGAAAAAAACAAATTGGACAGAAGGAAGAAAGAAATTTGAAAAAAGAAATAAATGAATAAGGTATTTCTAGGATGAATATTATAATAATAACAACGTCGATGGCACTGCTTCGAGCAATAATAAAAGTAGATCCTGTCAATATAAAAGAGTTCCTTAAACATTATCCTTAAGTTTGTCAATAGCATCGGATAAAATGGAATATCATTAGTGCCCACAATGTGCAAACGTTTTACAAATACCATCGTCCTAAGATAAATGCTAAAGAAAGTAGGTGAAGACAATGTGTATATTATCGATTTATGTACATACAAATACATTAGCAAAAAAAATAGGAATTATCTTTATGCAAAAAACAGCAAACGTGGAATTCAGATAAGAATATTTATAACTTACATAAATATGTGTATATATATATATATATATTTAAGTTAAAACGAAAAAAATATACTTTTGAAATTAATTTTTTTCTAAATTCATTGTTTCCGTGTTTTTTGAAAAGAATTCCCATTATTTTCGCACGAGGCCAACGTTTATGCTTTAAAACGGATTTATAGCACGTGATTATTCTTGTAATACAAAGACGCACCCAAGCCGCGAATCTGCCTCGTCATCTTCCGTAGATCTGATCCAGGCAGCGTAAACACGTAAACAAATGTATTCAATCATGAAAACTTTAATTGGCGTTTGCAAAAGATCGAAAATTATTATATGGGAAACTGTAATTTCTTATTAGGCATAGAAGGCGATTTTTAAAAGTGATTTACTTAACAGATTTAATTTTCATCCTTCCTTTGCCAAGAGACATTCGACATATTTTGGATGATGACGATGTTTGCTTGCTGGTGCAACGATAGCATATCAATTGTATAATGATTCATAACTGCTTTTCGTTGACCAGGTCAGCGTGGAAAATTATAACATTTTTGTTCATTCCACGTGACCTTTTTCTGAACGATCGATGCCAAGGAGAATGGCTCGCTCTCAGGATTGGAGATACTCACCCAGTTTGATGTAGCAGGTCGCATAGCTGGAACAGAATATCTACCTCCAATGGCGTAATCTGCGACATCATTTGTGCGGAATGAAGGAACCTCTCTGAAGCAATTAATCATGTTATCATTTTACTAAAAAAAAAATCCCTTCGTTTTTCAATTTGTATGGTAAAATTCAAATACCTTTGGTAACCTCTTCGAATCTGTGGCCATTCGTCGCGTTAAGATAAATACGTTTAATGAGCTCCATATTATTCAAGAGGGAATTGAACGCCATAAAATATGGAAAGCTGACTTTGCTACGTCCACCTTGTCCGGTGCTAGCTGCCTATAATTACCATAAAGCAATTAGTCACTCTCATCAGCATCGATAAAGGAATTTATCGTTCTAAATTGATTACTTACAGCGACCAAGTTGTCTCTTACATCCTTAGTTAATAAATGACTCTTAATGCTGAGCATGATATCTTGAAAATCTAATGCCGAAATGAAACCTTGCCCATCCTTGTCGAATTTCTTGAATGCTTCTGTCGCGTATTCTTCATGGAAATCCTAAATAAACAATATATCCTAACGTTCTAGAAATAAGAAATTTCTCTTATATTGGAAAACTTACGTGCAAAAATTGACTGAACTCCGCATAGCTTATCAGTCGCTGTTTATCCTTTCCAAAATAAAGTTTAATGAAACTGCTATCCATATTGAAGGGCATCCGCCGATGGAGTTCCGTTTTCCGCATCACCTCAGCGAACTCATCTGAAAAGTGAATAATACGAGATGGAAATTCGTTGTTAATCGCTTTTAAGAATAAAATCTCTACACACCAAATGCAACCATTCCATTTCCATTAGTATCAAACAGTTGGAAAGCTGTCTTATACAAAGCATCTGGTACACAAAGCAATCCTTCGAACGCTTGAAACTCGGCAAATGATATGAGTCTGGAAAAATATTCACCTATTATTAGTTATTTTTCACGGATATTAAAAGAAGAAAAAATATTGGAAACAAACCCATCTTTACTGGTATCGACGATACCAGCCAGCAAATTGACGGAGTCAGGATTGTAATCAGGGTTGGTGTAGAGTCCAAGATAAGTTCGGACAAAGTCAGACGAGGTCATAAACCTTTCGCCATTTTTCTCTTGTGAAGCGTACTGTAAGTTTTTAAAAAAAAAGTTTATAAGTAAATTTATTTCTAAATCTATCGATCGGGCAATTTTATCTTAATATATTGTTATCTAATACATATCTTAATATATTGTTATCTTCTTGATAAAATCATTTATACTTGATAAATCTTTAAAAAATTAATTAAAATCTTATTGTATTATAAAAATTAACTCAAACTAATTTATTATTTACCTGATTAAATATTTCATGGAGGCGTTCAGTATTTGCACGCTTTAAATATCCAGAACCCTAAAAATTACAAATAAGATTAATAACTTTTTGAAAAAAAAAAAAAACTATTTATTTTGAGATAAAAAATTCTCTTAAGATTAAATAATGATAGAGTTGAAGTGTCCTACGAATGACGTTGACTATCAATATTAATATTTCAAGGACAAAAATTCAGCATTTCTTCACAACTATACATTATTATAAATTTCACAATAAGTCTGATTTCTTGTATCGAACATTGACAAACAAATAATATAATAGCATTATCGCTGAATGGAGCCAAGAAGACTTTTAAATAGTGTTTATGAACCATGGGTTATCAACGATACAATTTATCATCACATGATATAAAAGGTTGCATTTATTGCTTGCACTTATTACGTAAATTATAGATACGAATATTTGTAATAACGCCAGTGGCGCTAATATAACACATCGGATGAGATATAAACACAACCGGTTAATAATATGATTAAGGATAAATTTATATGCACTTAACATTATAATAGTCGTAGAATTGCACGGTTCGAAGTTCAAAGGCACGACTGAACTTAGCAACACCATTGTAAAAAGGGATCACGATCTCGTTTATTTAATAATTCTGCCAAGAATTATATGTTTGCACTTCCAACAAGCCACCATAAACGTTGTCACATGCAAAATACGAAGAAAGAACAAAGTCAAGTGATTGAACCACAGATCGAATAGAGAATTAAATTTGCATGGACTCCCTGCCTTTGCATGTCTATAAAGCCTTGAAATTGAAACTGTATATGGTACATTCAATTATCGTAAAATTTTAGTACTAATTACGATATATATTAAAAATTGTCCCATTTAATAAAGAACTTACATAAAAATTGGAGAAGAGAAGAATCATCAAAGAAAAAATTAAAAAATATATATATATATAACTTACATTGATCATACACAACGATCGAATTATAATTTGAAAAAATACGTAAATGAATTTACGTATGTAGGCGGGTCACATGTTAATCACATGAATAACAAACCGACTTACTATTAATTTACTTTTTCATGGTCGCACAATGCTCGAGAACTTGACGCAGAAAATAATACAATAATGATATAACTTAGTCAAACAATATGCCAACTTTAGCTAGAAGATGATAATTTGATCATCTCACCAAGGAGAAACAGAGATAGCATAACTAATCACACATAGGAAGATTATTAAAGAAGATGTATAAAATTGAAATTATAAGATAAGCTCCTTAAGATTTATAAAATAAAAGGGAATAAAAACGAGCAAAGAAACTAGCACTTCTTATAACACTTACACATAAACGTACCAACTGATAAAACAACGTTTTACATATGTTTCTCACATACCATTATAGTCTTTGGATTCTTCTTTCTTTGATTGTTTAAACAAAAAGGATCCAATAAAAGTGGGGGGCGATCACGTATTGTTTCCTCAAAGCTTTGCAATCAGCATACTGATATTGAAGATAACGTAAAAAATGATAGCAAGTACGTATGAACAATGGCACGCGCGTAACACATATGTACAATTGCAATAAAAGAGTGAGAATGAGAGAATAAGAGAATAGTGTCTCGCGCGCAATAGCCACGATGATACTGATTCAGCCTTGTCATACGAAAAGAGAACATTGCCACTACTCCCTCCACCACTCTAAAAGACTGTTGCCTTTTTCTTCTGCTTTCAGCGATAGCTCGTCATCTCTTCTCCTCTCTTAATTTCTTGTGTAAATAAGATTCCTTAGGAAACCTACAAATTTGTGTAAATTATTACAAAGAGACAAATACAGAAAATCAAGATATATTTTAAATTGATTGATCAATCCTTCATTTATTCGAATGTCACAAAAATAATATCGAATGATCATGAGTGACTCGAACCCATCACTATCATCTTAACCCACATGAGAGTTTCCTGTCCTTTTTTATTCTACTCCTCACATGCACTCAATCTCATTCCAACGTTCCTTTTTTTGTTCCCTCCAATTTCACATGTCCATTTCTCATCCCTTCCTCTTTTTTTTTTTTTTTTTATTTCGTATTTCTTCACTCGGTTTCCGCAATCATCTGAGAATTCTCGTTTTTCCTGTTTCCAATTCTTTCGTTCTCTTTTTTCTTTAGATTTTTTTCTCCTTGAGATTCAATTTCTTTGAACGAAAGATACAGAATTGTCACTGATGGTCTCGATCATTGTCAAGAGCAAGTATTTTTGCGTACTCACGAGCGCGTGTCTTGGCTAACCGGTCGACCGGTTGCTTTCATTTTGCAACGCCATGTGTTACGTAATCCGGTAAGTTGATTCTCAATATATAATACACACACGTACGTTAATTAAATTACTTGATTAAATAGTTTTTTTTATATTTTTAGCGTCTATCAAATATATTATAGATTAATATCTATATATTAACATCTAGATATTATTGTCGCATTATATCAAATTATATTATATATATAGTTGACAGTAATTGATATATAAATTATTTCATAATTAGTTAATAATTTAATTTTATTTTTAAATACTCGAAATAAATAAATAGAAATCTTTTCCTTATTAAATATGAATTCTTTTTTCCTGTATTAAATGATATTTATTTAACGTAGCTGAATTAAATGCGAATCAAAGAGTACTCTTCAATAAAAGAGACATGTAATCAATAGATAATATTAGAATGACGCCAGAGAATTTCCTGTCACATTTCACAAACAATTTAAGCGTCTGTATATCCTCCATCGATGGTGGACATGTATTCGTTTCTGAGAAAATATAGGTTTCCATCGTGGAACTGAAATTCTATCAGTGCAAAGAACTTAAACTACAGCGTAGTAGACTTAATAAGGATCGTTTTACCTACGTTGGTGATAAGATTCAAAATGGCGTAATTTCCATCGTGTCTTTTACCGTCTACCGATTAGGCTGAAACTACAAAAACTAATCTTACTAAAATTAAATAATTTAAGATAAACAATAAAAAAAAGAAAAGCTAAAAATATTTTAAAGAATCTAATTATATGTTATGAGAAAAATATTTATATAATAGAATCAAGGTTATATCTAATCGCTATTAGCCTTATGTAAATTCTAATAAATTATGACTAACATATAGTCCGTATAATAACGTATAGTAATATATAGATATAATCATTTATTATTTCAAGAGTTAATTTAATTGATAATCATTTCCATGAATTATAAAATAAACATATATCATTACTAAGAGTTTAACTATTCAATTTCTTATCGGACAGAAATCAGAATCACTCGATTTCCCGAATCGCGCACCTATAACTACAAATCTAAACATTCGTCAGAATTGACTCTACAAAGAATTAAAAAAGAATGGCAATTCTCTGCGCTATAGTCGCAGAACGGTCGATTCCTCCTGACCCATACCTAGGAAAATAATTTGTAGCGGCATTTTCAAGTGTCGCTTTCTCTTTCCGAATCTCAAAATAATGGGACAATGAACAATTATATTCTGAATTTTGGAAAATTCATGTTCTCTTATAAAATAGTTATAACTATTGATTATTATCATTTAGAGACATTTCTCATTATCATTTATATCACTTTTTAAAAATATTTCTTCTACTTCCATTTTAAATCTATGAAAAGAACAATTGAATACATTGATCAATAACAGCAATCTAAATAAGTAGACAGCTCACAATGCTAATGCCTCTTAACACATCTTTGTCATTTAATCGATCTTTCCAAATGGTCGAAAAAGATTGGAAAAAGAAGCAACAGGTGTGCTTTGAAATAGTAAAGTACAAAAGCGACAACGAATTATAATGAAAGTGTGTGCGAGTTATAGACCTTGTATTCTACCGAAATAGATGTACATATAACTTGGAAGGTATCTAATGCGGTTAAGAAGTTTCAATCTACTGTCGGGGGCCACTGGAAGGATTGGATTTATGGATAAACTAGACGACAACAAGATCACACGTTTATATAATAAATCTGCTGGAATAATTAAGAATATGCTGTTATTTTTGCCGATTATATAAGTTGGCTTTTGTAATGTTTAGACTGATGTTTAAATCCATTCTCTAAAGGCGCGATTTTACTAGTGATTTCAATTCATCGAACATTGTTCGTAAACAGTATTCGGTGGTCAATGCATTGCATGCTATTTGCTTTTCACAAAAGAGTCTACAGTTACCGACAAACAATTTACAAGTTTCATTTACGAACTATTCACGAAGATTATATAAATCTAGTGGGCATATTTTTTTTTAGAATCAAAGATTTTTAAATAATCTTTTCTTTTTTTTAGAAATAAAATTTATAATGATAGATTTTTTAATTTTCTTAAGAATTAAAAATTATATGAAGATGACGAATTTATTTAGGTATCTTCAAGGATAACTATTTTAGAAACTTGAAACATATTTTTCTTCGATTTTTTTTTTTTTTTAATTCCTGAATATTAAAAAAGGAACTTTCTTAATAATATAAACTTATAGAGAACAAAAAAAATATATAGAACTTTTCAACACTTTAAATATATACTTTATATTATATATATATTCAAATAAAAAATGATCGCTCTGATAATTGTTTCCTAATGCAAATCAACTAACGTTGAAACATACACTTATTAAGATAATGATAAACATCAATTGTAATATCACGTAACAAAAACGATTATATCCACGTGAAAAACGAATCGCAACTTGAATCAACTACATTCCAATGAAATTACCTCACTATTTTTCTCTCAAGGCTTATAAATGTCTTTTTAAATCGTCACTTCCACATTTTTTTCAGAGATTCTTTAAAATTCATTCCAAACACCTAGAGTTAAAAACAGATCACAATTTACAATCACACACACAATGAATCATTATTCAAAAAATTATAAATGATTCACAGTAAAATATTAAAATTGGAAATAACAATTTTAGCGCAAAAGTAATTTAAAACCAATCTCAGCTAACCTCTTCGTATTCCCCGTTGCTCATCTCTCCCTTTCTCTCCACTTTTTTAAGTTCAACAAACAAGTATCTAGCACCTCAGAATAAAATGCGTCACCTATTTCATGTGGTTATGTACACACAACAGAGAAAACGACAATACACTTCATTTCCCGACTCACATGACTACAACATTTGGATCTTATCGTTTCCAGACAGAAGTTACCTCAAGAACGATTCAGGCGTGACTGGCGTTGAGTCGACGCAAACCTCACGACGCAACTGGTGCAGGTTCACGCACAAAAGGGGAGGTGGACACGAGGTCCCCGACCCTCTTACAGGGAAAACTGTTACAGGAAGGCCCAGATATATTGCACATATATATATACCTTACCCATTATTCCATTTAATCACAAACAAACATTGGCATCGTACTAAACTAATTTTGGCATCGTAGTTTCTTTTATTCTTATAAATGATTTTTATATTTTCTTCTTTTCTGTAAATAATTTTAAACTATTATAAATTTTTTTTTCAAATAATTTTTTTTTTTTTAGATTAAAATTTAACAATTTAACAGATTATTTCATAAATAATAAAAAAATTTGAGTATCTTAATCTTCATTTTAATTTTTAATAGATGGATCGAAAGGATAAAAGACGTACAAATATATTTCCAGGAAGAATCCTCAAGAAAAATCAAAGTAAAATCAGATTCCTGACATGATCGATCTAATTCTGCAATTGAGTCCAATACGTCTGGGAATGCAAAATTTTGAAGTTAACCCAGATTGTCCGCTCAAGCCAAATTAGAGTCCTGGAATAATGCAGATCAAAAAATATAAATAGTCCAAAAAATAGTTATATAAGAAATTAATTGAAATTTTTCCAAATATATGAAAGTATATTTCAAAATTAATGATTGATATAAAATTCATTGATACAAACTGTTATATTTCCAATCGATCCTTTTTGGATAAATTTAATTCAAACATGAAAATTCAAAATATTTTTAATAATATATATAATTTTTAATAACATTACAAAACTATATTATTTTTTTTGAATAATTGTAAAATCAAAAATTTAACATTTAGTTTTTTATTTTATTAAATATAAAGTTAAATGTTAAATAATATCTTATTAATTATTATAAAATTTCAAATTATGAATTTTTACATATATTAAAATTATATTATAAATATACATATATACATATGTGATGCATATGAAACAAATTACAAAACAAATTAATCATGTATGTAAAATATACTTATGTAAAGATATTACATATTTTTAATAATGCAAAATGAATTATTTTAATGATTCTTAAAAAAAAATGTGGAAATTATCTTGATGATAGAATCAAGAGAATAATGTAAATTCGTCACTGAATCAAACGAAATCATAGTGGAATAATGTTGTAGCTGGGATAATAATACTCATATCCAGGTCTCGCGTACGCAAAAGGAATTGGGTCAATGCGAAGGGAACAACGTTGAACCCAGTATGAATCTCGCAACCGTGAGAGAAACGCATATTTTATTAAAAAAAATGTCGTTCAAAAAAACAAATTTCATACCAAATCTCCAGGTTAACCATGAGCGTTTTTAATGATGAGATACCAATATACAATATATTAAATGCAAATATCTGTTTACTCTGTTATTCTATTATTAACCATTCTACTTTCGTCTAAATTTTGTTTCCTTTTTTTATATTAAATTTAACTTTGATTATTTATATACATTTCATTTCTTTGCGTATTACTGAAAGGAATATTAAATAGAATTTTTATTTCAACTTTTCTTTCAATTTCAAACTTAATCTTATTACATGTATAAAATTTAATGTATAACTAATAATTTAATATATGTCTAATATTTTAGTTTAAATTTTTAATGTCCAAAATTGAGTAACTAATTATAGGTTAGATACTAATTATTATAAACTATTAAATAGAAAATCTAGGCAATAGAATATGAAGTTGGAACAGAAATTGGAGATGAAAAGGCGCCTTTAGGCCATCTACCATAATATACTTATATAAATGTAATATACCTAGTATGCATGATTGTAACTTTTATTAAAAAATAATA